TTTTTTTTACCATATTTTCTGCTGTACATGTCGCACCACCCTATAAGTTGCATCAGTCCATATTTGGCTAATAAAGTGAAAAAAATCCATAACTATGTCGCTTCACCGTATATGTTGCATCTATTATGCGTCACCGCTGACAACCCGGAAATGTGGGCCGGTGTTGTTCCAAAAATCGATGGACTGCCAAATGGCGGCTGCTGGAGCGTGCACAGGAGGACTTTAACAAGCATTTAACAAGGCACTTAAAAATAATTATTTGTTTGCTCAAAATTATAGTAAATGTGTGTCTCAGTCTAACGTTTGCTTAGTAAATGCACTTTGGTGGTCAAATCATCTGCATTTCAAAACCCAGTACATGGAAGTAAATGCGTGCATGCGACGAGTCGTTGTAGAAAATTTAACAAGAAAAGCACCTAAACAATTATTTGTTTGCTTGAAATTATAGCAAAGATGTGTCTCAGTCTAACATTTGCTTAATAAATGCACTTTAGAGGTCAAATCAGCTGCATTTTGCTGGGGCGGTGCAGCTGGTTTGACGGTTCCAAGCAACGAGCAGAATGAAGGTGGAAAGACTATGGCAGGCTGATTGAGTCATTAAAAGCTGATGAAGATTCTCAGTCATCCGGGACATGGTAAATTAAAAAAAGTTCAAGAAAAAAACTAGAAAGTATAAAGTATAATAAAGTCCAGTTGTTTTTGTCTTGAAATTTTTTTAATTTGGCATTATAGTCACTTTTACCTATTATATGATACAACAGCATGCCATATAGTTATTACTACTCTGTTGCCATCAAGTGGCTGAAAGTGGTACTGCTTAAAAAAAAAATTTCAGTCAGAATGAATGAAAACGGTCATATCTCAGCCAAAAATGTTTTTTAAATATGGGAAAAAAATCCATAAATATGTCGCTTCGGCCTATAAGTCTCAGGGCATGAAATTATGCAAAAAAACTGCAACTAATAGGCCCAAAAATATGGCAGTTATTTTTTAAGTATAGCTGTGAAGACAAAGTATTTTTAAATACTGAATTAGTTAACAGACAAAGCCTACTCATAATTAATTTTTATTCAATTATATATTTTTATTTATTTATTTTAATGTTTTTTCAGAGTGGCACGGTGGCTCAATTGGTAGAGGTATTACCTATCAGTGAGAAGGTCGCCTGATCCAATCCTGGCTGGGGTCTTTCTGGGTGGAGTTTGCACGTTCTCTCAGTGCATGCATGAGTTTTCTCTGGGTACTCCAGTTTCTTCCCACAGACAAAAATTCTTTATTTCATTTATTTTTTTTAAATTGATTGGTGTGGTGGTAGCGGAGAGAAATGCTCCATAAATAAGCTCAGAGGTGACAGAATCTTCTCTGCTGCAGGTCCAAAACTGTGGAATGAGTTACCACTACATGTCAGGCAGGCTCCCTCTCTCACTGTTTTTGTCTTGTTTAAAAATTCACTTTTATTACCTGGCTTTTGACACTGAGCGAGTTGATTTTCACTTGTCTGTAGTATATTCTGTTAATCATTTAGTTCTTATTGTTACATAATTGGATCTATGCATTTTATTTTGTGTCCTTTGCTTGTTTGTTTCTGCTGTACAGCACTTTGGTTGGCCTTGTTGCTGTTTTTAAGTGCTTTATAAATAATGTGGCATCGTACGATATGGTATAAATACTGAATTTAAAAAAAAATTCATGATGGATGCCAAAGCTAAATCCAAATGACTTCAATTCAGCTATTTTTACAAATGCAGAGTTGAAATTTGGTGGAGTTATAGCTGAGATCGTTCCCCATCACATAGTAAATCCAAATAACAAAAAATCTGAAATGGCTACAATAGCTTTAAAGAAAAAGATAGTATAACTCATTGACTTTTTTTTGCCATATTGAGCTGAAACTTAGTGTATTTGTAGCTGAGAGCAAACCCCAACACATAGTACTGTCAAATCAAAATTTTAAAATGGCCGCCACATAACAGTCTCCATCAAAGTTTCTCCAGGAACTTTCTACTGTATCATTATTCTTTGTTCTGTTGTTGTCAATTAGATTGTTCCAGAAACAACCTGTTGAGTATTGAATATTAATAAACATCTGCATGAGACAGCATATGGGTACTGACTTGAAAAAGATGATTATCCACAACATACAAGTTGTGCCTGTAATAAATCTCACTCTAATAACGGCAGCTGGTGGTTTCATAGCACTCCTTACATATTCCCATTGCAATCTCCTCATGCCATAGAACATTAACATTTCTAACTTTAACAAGCCTAACCTGCTGCACATCCTTTTAAGCCTGATCCCACTGTCACGACAATCAGCACAAGTCCCTCTCTCCCTCCTTAGTGTCAATTTCCCATACATTTCATCATACAGCTTCTGCTTTGCCTTCACTACCTCAGTTTTTGCTCTACGTTGAATCTTCGTATATTCCTGTCTCCTCTCTTCAGTCCTCTCACTGTCCCAATACTTCTTGGCTAACATCTTCCTATAAAGACCTTCCTGCACTTCACTATTCCACCACCAGGTTTCATCATCCATTCTCTGTCCAGATGACATACCAAGTACCTTCCTACCTGTCTCTTTAATTACCGTTGTTGTTGTAGTAGTCCAGTAATTTGGAAACTCTATATCATCACCCAGAGCCTTTAACAGCTCCTCCCTGAATTTCTCACAACATTCTTCCTTCTTCATCTTCCACCATTTGGTCTTCTTCTCTGATTTTACTCTTTCTTTTTTTCACAACAACAGTCATTCTACACACAACCATCTGATGCTGTCTGGCCACGCTCTCCCCTGCCACAACCTTACAGTCCCCAATCTCCCTCAGGTTTCCTCTTCTACACAGAATGTAGTCGACCAGCGTACTCCTTTCTCCACTCTTATAAGTCACTATGTTCCTCCTTCCTTTGAAATGTGTATTGACTACAACCATTTTTATTTTCTTGGTAAAATCCACCACCATCTGTCCTTCCTGGTTTCTTTCCTTGACACCAAATCTACCCATCACTTCTTCATCCTCTCTGTTTCCTTCACCAACATGTCCATTCAGGTCTGCTCCGATCACCACTCTCTCCTCCCTGGGAATACTCTCCATAACTTCATCCAGATCCTTCCAGAATGGTTTTCTCCTCTATGTCACATTCAACTAGAGGAGCATAACCACTGACAACATTTAGAATCAGATAATAATATATTTACCTTCAGTTAAATCACCCGATCTGACATTCTCTTCACCTCTACTATGTTATTTGCCAACTCCTCCCTTCTGGACCATCCCTACTCTATTACTCTTTCTATCCACACCTTTGATAACAGTCTATCTGTTTTAAATTGTGCTCTATAAATAAATATGACTTGACTTGACTTGACCATGGTAAAACTGTTTAAAGCCTACTCCAATGCTTCGAGCCTTGCTGCCCTTCCACTTGGTCTCTTGGCAGATAAAACATCTACCTTCCTTGTCTGCATAATGTCAGCCAGCTCTCTGCCTTTGCCTGTCAATGTCCCCACATTTAGAGTTGCCACCCTCAGTCCAATATTCTTGACTTTCCTCCTCTCTCAGTCTCTTGACACGTTTTTTTTCTCATAGTTTTTGACTAACGGTAGCACAGTTCCTGACAGCATCCTGTATGTCAACAGCACCAGTGGCAGTGTCATTGTTAGCACAGGCCCCGACTAAATGGTGTCGTTTAGATGATCTTGCATGTTAGCTTTGACAAAGGTGTTTTATCTTGGATGCCCTTACTGACACAACCCTCAACCTGGGCTTGGGACGGGTACGAAACATTCACTGGCTTGTGCTCCCTAGTGTCAGGTTGAAAATTATAAATTGTCCTAAAGCCATATGGAAAAATGACCCTTTTTGAAAGTAAACTCTAGTGTATTCCTTTTTCTGGTAAAAACCTAAACTGCAGCTTAAACTTTTTTCCGGTAAAACTCTGGGTTAAAAAAAAAAACTTACAGCATTAACCACTCTGGTAAAACTCAAAACATCAGCTTAAAAAAAACATTTTGGTAAAACATAAAATTGTAGCTTTGTAGCAGAAGGAATGCTTTTAATGAAATATTAACTGTAAATCTGCACAGTTACTAATTAGCAATGCATGTTTTTTTTGTGCCAAAGCTAATCAACATTAGCAAACACAAAAAGGGCTAAAACTGTATGTTTTACAGATATTGACCTGAAATTTTATATAGTACAGAGAATTAAAAAAAAAATTATATTATATATATATATATATATATATATATATATATATATATATGTATATTTATATATATATCTGTATATATATATAATATAATTTTTTTATTTATTTATTTTTTTACATTGACTACTCAAAGACATATTTATAATTTGATCAAAACAGTAATAACTCAATCATTTCTCATTACAAGATATATTAACTGCCATGAAAGTTGGTGGGCAACATGTATTTCGTTAGGAATGTGTTTGTTATATATCAAGCCCCTTTTTTTTTATTAACACAAATCACAGAAACAAACACCTACCAAAATGTATAAAGCCAAACAATTTAAATAAAAGTCACAACAGAGAAATTTAAAAAAGGCATTATAACTGAGATAGGATTTAAATTTCAGTATTTAAGAAAATCTATAACGGTAATGAAATGGGTGCCAATGCCCATTCCTTTATCTTTTTTTTTTACCTTTGAGTATTTAGGCAGGTTGGTTTGATGAGAACAAAATGTCATTGAGAATTTTCATTCTCATGGAGTTGATCTGTTTCAAGTTCCCAACCAGACTTCTACAACCAGTGTAAGCCTGTGTCGTTCATTACAACCCACTGGTATCAGTTAACATGATGGATGGTGAATCAATTACAAACATGCTTCTACTAAACAAAACAGGAACAGTCATCTAAACTGTGAATGAAACATTTATCCTTTAATATTGAACAGCTTATAAATGTGGATTTTTCTTTTGAGAAAGAAATCAATATACTTCAAAACAAAGATGAACATTTTAAATGTCTATATTCACCTAGAAAGCACTGTATGTCAAAATAGATCAATTTTGAGTTTATATCATTTCCTCTATGCACAAAATCAGACACTATACTGACATCTGTGAATTCAATATATGAACAAAAAAATCTTGATCGATTTTCATATTTTAGGTTTTGAATCACACATATTTGTGCAAAGCTAACTCTGATTGCAGTGCACTCAGTACCTTGCACGAGGGGGTCTCCAATCTCTACCGCCTCCTTATTGTCCATCTCCTCCTGCACACAGGATGCAGCAGCCATTTGGGCTAAAGCTGATGCACAGTGGGCAGCCACACCTGAAAAAAAGCAGAGCAAATATAATGTTAAAAAACAAAAGGAATATATATATATGTGTGTGTGTGTGTGTGCGTGTGTGTGGGTGTGTGATGGTGTGTGTGTGTGTGTGACTGGCCACGGCAAAACCAGGAACAAGTTTCCCCTGGGTCATTTTGAGTTATTTACAGAATCTGAAAGTGTGGGTTCTAAGCTATCTGATGATGTCAAACATATGACAATCGAAAAAAACAAAAACTGAAGACGATACGGCCATTTCAATGTTGGCAATCTGCAAATAAGATTAGGGAGAATACAGGCCTCAAAGATTCAGAAGAATGACCCCATTCCTGAAGCGTTACCTGGGGGTGTTAACAATTGCTGTTCATTTACATTAATTTGCCTTAACCCCATCCCCCAGCACTGACTGTCCACACAGACTCTGCCTTGGAAGGTGTGCAGACCTTCAGCTTTGCTTTGCTTTACTGCATAATGCCTATTGATCTTTTGAAAAAATAACAAAAAACATTAATACAAATAATTGTGTTTTATGTTATTGTGACATGTTTTACACATTTATAAGTCAAAGTCAACGTTGTTGTCAAAACTGCAATATGTAGAGGACATACACAGGATTGAAATTACATTCCTCTCAGACCCTTGGTGCAACAATAACCATTAAACCTGATGCATGCTCAATTATCCAGGTAGAAAAATCTAAAAAAGTTCAATCTGGTCCTCTGGACATTCAAAAAACAAAACAAAGCAAAACAAAAAAAATGTAGAAACGTTTCGTCTCTCATCCGAGAGACTTCCTCAGTCTGAGGTGCTGTTTTCAGCTCAGTCTCTTAAATAGCACCTTCTCAGAGTGGATCAACCAGTTTGCTGCTGACAACCAAAACCAGCTGCTCACATGGTCAAGAAGGACCATCAGCCTAACAATGGATCATTAGCACACTGATGGCTGTTTACTATTCACAGAGGGCTGAGTGATACTAGCAATAACAGCATTGTAAGATTGGGACAGTTGAACACGGAGGCCTCCACCCCTGTTTAATGATGGACGATTTCTTTTCACAAAGATGGCCTCCTTTACTCCTCTCTCAAACCATCGTTCCTCTCTATCCAGGATGTGAACATCTTCATCCCTGAAAGAGTGACCGCTGGCCTGGAGATGAGTGTAGACCGCAGAGTCCTGGCCTGATGATGTTGATCTTCTGTGCTGGGCCATCCTTTTGGCCAGTGGCTGTTTAGTTTCCCCGATGTAAGACTGATCACAGCCCTCCCGACACTGAACAACATACACAATATTACTCTGTTTGTGCCGGGGGACTGGATCTTTGGGATGAACCAGTCTTTGCCGTAATGTATTTTGGGGTTTAAAAGCCACTGGGACATTATGTTTAGAAAATAAACGTCTCAGTTTCTCTGATACTCCCTCAACATACGGAATGACCACTGGTCTGGGTTCCTCCTTTTCACCTGATGGCTGACTGGAGTCCTGTTTGGGTTTCTTCTCTGCTTTCAGGAAGGCCCAGTTAGGATATCCACATTGCTCTAGAGCCTGTCTTGTGTGGGATTTCTCCTTCTGCCTGGCTCCTGAGTTAGTGGGGATGCTGTCTGCTCTGTGGTACAGAGTCCTGATGACTCCTAAGACTCCTACCATTAGGATATATATATATATATTATATATATATATATATATATATATATAATCACATATATACATACATGACCTGCTGGTTACCCTGACAGGTAAACATTGTGGTGCACAACAATGATCTCGAGTGATAAATAATGATGTCATGTGGAGGTGAAGGACCAAGAAATGCTGACAGCCACGTCAACCAAACTTTTGATGAAAAGTAAGATTACATTTATGTTGTGGTATTTTATTCAGGTGTTTGTTTATGTGTTTTTGTTGCTATGATTGTACATAATGAAGATTAGTGGATGATTGTTAATATCTTAATGAGATAGTGTTGAAAATATGCTAACGCTAACACAAGTTAAATGCTGTCAACGTGAACTCAAGAAGCATTTTAACTGAAGATAGTTTTACATGACGTCAGTTCTCTGCATTTGTAAGCCACAGAGTTATGTAAAACATTTAATTTTTCATATACACATAACTACCAGGATCAATCAGATAGACATTGAGTCCATTAAATTTAGTAGAAGTCGGCATTGAAAAATATGCTTCAATCCATGGACCTTCAAATAAAAAAATGAAAATAAATAAATCACCAGACTGTCAATAAATTTAGAAATTATTTCCTGAAGACTGGCTAAGCTTCGTGTTTTCAAGTGTCCCACCTTAAAATATTTATAAAGAAAAAAAACGTTAATTAGATTCAGTCTATAGCATTTAATAAATGTGAAAAAAACCCAACTGATTCAAATAACTGATTCTTTTCAGCAACAACAACAACAACAACAACAACAACAATAAACAAAAATGAATTTGCTCAAAACAGCCTGAAAAAAACAAAACACACCTACCGATTTCCCTAGAGACTGGAAAAGGTGATGCTTTAAGTTTAGCACCACCTTTTAGCTGTTAACAAAACATCTTAAACATGCAATTTAAAAAATGCAAATAGCAAGAGGTTGAAGTATGAAGAATGTTTATTAGAGATCAAAAACCACATCCAACAGGTTTTTTTTTTGTTGTTTTTTTTTCAAAAAGACACGTGTGTGCATGTGCCTGCGTGTGTTTTGTGTGTATGTGTGAACAAAAGTCTTTGCTTACGTTTGCAGTTCATTATCATATTATACAGAACAACTCAGGTTGTTGTTCTGACCAAATGTATGTACGTGTGGTAGAAATCAGCATTGTAGTTTTTGACATAAAAACATTTTTAGCGCCTCCAAAAGGTTGAGAAAAGTCGTGCCGCCTATTCAGATTAGAAAACTGGACAAATAGTAAAGTTTTGATCTGTATGTGTGTTAAAAATGATCAAATATGGCCAATTGTATATGAGGGCTAACTGATGTGGAAACATGACTCAGTAATAAAAAAAATCCTAAATAACTTTCAGAACTACTACCGTACTCTTTATGGTATACATGTACTGTATAAGAAATTCTTATACTGACTGACATTGAGTCCTAGGAGACCATTTTTAAAGATTTTGCACATTATGCCAATTTGCAAAAGAACAAAATTTTCAAAGTAAACCAACCTGCAGTAAAAAAAACAACTACAGTACACTTAAACAATTAGGAGGTATCGAAGTACTCAATGATTGGGCTTAGAATTTTGGAATTACAGACCAAAAACACCACCTAGGGGTGTACTTATGTAGTTTTATCTTATATACCTGTGAGCACACCAGTACTTTAAATATACAAAATAAACCATATTTTAAATATGGTAAAAGAGCTAGTTGTTTATTATAAAGCTTGTTAACAGTGAAAATGTGAACATATGGGTAGGCAAGACCATAAAAAACAAACAAACAGACTTTCGTTCTGGCCTTTTAGTAGGAGGAAATTTTAGTAACTGGACCTCAGTGAGTTCTATTTCATCCCTCCTGACCGCCAGAGGGCGGTGCTGAAAGCACTGAATGTTCCCTTCGCGCATGCGCTGTTCGAGTAATAATACCAACAGAGTTACAGGTGTGACACAGATGACCAATCAGAGGCTATATAGCCTGACATCATCCGCTGCTCTGCTCCTTTTTTCTTCTCGTGCACGGTTCAATTCAGGGCTTCAGCCCTTTGGACCTTTTCTGAACTTTTTACCGTTATCAGAAGCCCGACTGCCCGACTGCCCGTCTGCGGGAGTAGCATGTTTGTCCTCCTAGGGCTGCGATGGTTTAACCCTGTTCAAAGGTATTTTCTGCTGATTCGTTGGGGACTACGGCGGTTTCCGCCTCTCCCAACTTACAGCGTCTTACTACTATGTGTGTGATTCAACACCGGTGAGTAGTGTTTTTCCTTTTATTTCGCCATTGGTTAGCAGTAGCATTCGCTCCGCTCCCGCTTGTTGGGAGACCTCCAACCGCGTGGTCGGCTGGACTGTGCTCCGACGTTGTTCATGACTACTATGCGTGTGATTTAACACTGGTGAGTAATGGTTTTTTGCTTATATTTTGCTATTGGTTAGCGGTAGCGTTCGCTCCGCTCCCGTTTAATGGAGGCCTCCAACTGCGTGGTCGGTTGGACTGTGCTCCGAAGTTTGCTTATTAAGTAGTCAGCTGAGTTCCTGGCCTTGTTTTAATTGATGAAGGCGAGCGTTCTCACCCCCTCTCCCAATTGTCCTCTCTTACCAGCTGAGCTAGCGGTGCTAGCCTCTCTGAGTTTTAACATTGTTTTAATTGGTGAAGGTGAGCGTTCTCACCCCCTCTCCTAATTGTCCTCTCTTACCAGCTGAGCTAGCGGTGCTAGCCTCTCTGAGTTTTGGCCTTGTTTTGATTGGTGAAGGCGAGCGTTCGCACCCCCACTCCCAATTGTCCTCTTTACCAGCTGAGCTAGCGGTGCTAGCCTCTCTGAGTTTTGGCCTAGTTTTAATTGGTGAAGGTGAGCGTTCGCGCCTCCTCTCCCAATTGTCTTCTTTACCAGCTGAGCTGACGGTGTTAACCTTTCTGAGTTTCTTGCCGTAATTTTTTCGTCCTATATCTTGGACATAGCTGGGTAAGGAGCATGGATGGCTCTCACTGCTTTACAGTCTGTGGAGCTGTGCTCCAGACAGATGACGATCACGACCTGTGTCCTGCCTGCCTTGGACATGACCATCTGGCGGAGGCACTGTCAGAAAACCCCTGCATGAATTGCAGCTTCATGTCGCGTGCTGTGAGGGTGGCCCGGCTGGCCCAGTTTTGCTCCAAACTTGGCGATGACCTCCCGCCTTCTGGGCAGGAGGCTCCACTTAGGCGCTCAAAGTGATGGACTGAGGCCACAGTCTCTGTGGCCCCTCCTGGGAATAAGCGAGCCAGATCTGATAGGGGCCTCTCCACAAGGGTGGAGCAGCTCTCCGCTGAATTAGCGGAGATGAAGTCCCTTTTTCAGGTACGCCAAC